GTTACTAAATTGCCCTTGTTGGTTACGCTATTACATTTACGGCCTAACCGTAAATTAAACGCAGTCCACCATTTAGAGGGGTTGTTTTTTTTACCTAATTTTCGTATTCTACCCTCTTTTATTCAAGTCGCTCAGCCGCCTTAATACGACCGGCGTAATTACTCGTTAAGGAAATGACAGTCATTTCGATATCCCTTCAAGATTTCAGTTTTGAAGTTTGATGACATAATAGTTTTTTTAAAAAATGATGAAGTTATTAATTGACGGAAAAGAAGAAATAATTAATAAAAAAAAGAAAATAATGCTTCTAGCTCCGGGCTACTAGTCTTTCCTTCCCATTAGGCCCAGAAACAGTAATGGGCAGTCCTCTTAATCGGTGACCTGCCCAAGAACAAAGCACTCGTCGAGTCGGTATCCCTTCACAGCGACACGTGGAGGCACCGGGCTCAATCATGATTTTTCCATCTCCCCTAGTGCACCAAAAATTCAATCAATCATAATGAGAAAGCGAAAAAGTTTTCCCGCCCCCCAAATTATATCACAGACTCACTATTTCCTCTCTTCCTCGACAAGTTTGCTAAACCCGAAACGCTCCCTTTTTGTCGCTCACTCTTTCTCACTTCTCATTTCATTCCCAAACCCTTTGCATCACAGATTTCGGATTCCAAAGACTGCCTTACGACGATTCTTGTCTTTATCTTTTCTTTTGTTTTTAGTCAAATCAAATCTCCATCGTTTCCCAATTACCCTACCTTTATAATTTTCCTTAACGGCTAAGTTTGGATCCAATGCTGGAATCTGATACTCCCTCGAAAACGTTTCTCGGCGTTCGTTTTTGTCTTTTCGGCTTCGATCCCGTCAACGAGCACAAGGTCTTTCCGCAATCTCCCGCTTTCTCTGCTATGTTTTGTCTCGATAGCTCTCTACTTCTTACGCGTTGTTTAACTCAAAGTGCTCATTTAAGCAATATATATATATAATTTGGTGATGATACTTGATTTGGTTTTATTGTTGAAACTTGTGAAGATTCGGGTAAAGCTAATTAACGGTGGCGGCGTGGGTGTTGGTCAGTATAACCAGAATTGCACTCATGTGATTGTTGATAAGATTGTTTATGTAAGTCTTCAATTTAATTTAACCGATGCCACTAGTTTCTTCTTCGTCTTCCTCTTTGTAAAGTTTGTTAGCATTCAAAATCAAAATGCTGAAATCATGCTCTAATTGTTATGTAGGATGATCCTGTATGTGTTGCTGCTCGAAATGATGGTAAAATAGTTGTCACTGGATTATGGGTTGATCACAGTTTTGATATTGGAATGCCTGTAGATGCTACTTCGGTGAGTTTATTTTATTCTAGTTCTAATTTTTAAAATGAACGTTATCATTACGGGGTAAAAGATTTTCTAGTTATATATGCTCTGTCTATTATTTGGATTCATGAATTCAGTTCGTGTAGACTTGTAGCACTAAATTTTGAAAAATAGCCCACAATATATGCACTCTATGGATAATTTACTCATGCAAACGTTCTTTGACTTAGAAATGTTTCATCGGTTTTAGGTCCAAAAAAGTTTTCATTTTTTATTATTTAATAATGTTGAACTTTACTTATCCTCCGTTGCAAACTTGTGAAACTGTCATTGTTTTTGGACAGATCATGTACAAACCTCTTCGAGATTTGAATGGCATTCCTGGTGCTAAGAGTTTAATTATATGCTTGACTGGATACCAGAGGCAAGATCGAGATGATATTATGGTAATGATCTCTCTTGACTATCGTGCTGTGGCTTCTTTTTGCTCATAAAGCAATTTTATTTCTGTTTTTTTTTTTAAATGATAACAAGATGTTATGCAGTTTTACTTAATTGTTTGCAGACAATGGTTAGCTTGATGGGTGCTCAATTTTCTAAGCCTCTGGTTGCAAACAAAGTCACCCATCTTATATGCTATAAATTTGAAGGTTCAGTTTTCTACTTTCCTATGTTATCTTTATTATAGGGCAGCTAAAATAAACTGCAAAATTCTAAGGACTGTATACTGGTCATATTGTCTTGTCAATCTCTTGATCTTCTCTCTTGCTATATCCTTTTATCCTAATGAATGTTATGCTGATGAGTTCTTTCTTTTTCCTGTCAAATCTTATATTATCCATCTATCTTTTCCCTTGACAAACATTATGCTTCTTAACTTATCTATTGTTTCATGTTTGTATAAATTTATTTATTTGTGTATAATTCTATGCACATCTAGGAGCCAGTAGTTAT